CTTTGTATATCTTCGGGAGTTCCTCTATTCAACCATTTTCCTTCTTCTTGTTGCTGGATATCTCGTTCATACACATCTTCTCTTTGTTTCCCGGGTCTCTAGTGAGTTACAGACAGAATTCGAAAAGGTCAAATCTTTGATAATTCCATCATCTATGATTGAGTTGCGAAAACTTCTGGATAGGTATCCTACATCTGAACCAAATTCTTTCTGGTTAAAGAATATCTTTCTAGCTGCTCTGGAACAATTACGAGATTCTCTAGAAGAAATACGGGGTTCTGCTTCTGGCGGCAACATGCTTGGTCCCGCTTATGGGGTCAAATCAATAGGTTCTAAGAAAAAATTTACTTAGGGCATATTGCTACTGCAATATAGCCGGGACTTTTGAAAATTCACCTTTTGTCCTAATGCTTTCCTATAAATTTGCAATACTTCCATGATAGTTTGGACACTCCATTCATCTGCTTTAGCAAAGAACAAACTATTATCTGCGAACAAAAGATAAGTAATTGAAGGGCCTGTTCTTCCATTTGAATCCCACTCCATAAGCCCTGCCTCTCCTGCTTTCGGATAAGTGACGAGAGCCCTTCTGCACACAAAATAAAAACGTAAGGCGAGAGAGGATCGCCCTGCCGCAATCCTCTCCTCGACTCAAAGAAATCCGTATTACCACCATTGATGATAATTGAGTAAGAAACAGAGCATACACACTCCATGATTAAATGGCACCAATGTTGAGGAAAACCGGTAGCATGTAACATATATTCAAGAAACTTCCATTCAACACGATCATACGCTTTACTCATATCAAGTTTTAGTGCCAGAAAACTATCTTGTCTCTCGCTCCTATGCTCCAGCCAGTGGAACATCTCAATAGCTGACATCACATTATCCGTAATCAATCATCCTTTAACAAAGACATTTTGATTGTCACTGATAATATATGGCATCACATGCTTCAAGCGATTAGTCAAGGTTTTTGTAATCAACTTATAAGCCACATTGCATAACTAATGGGGTGGTAGTTAGATATCATAGCAGGGCTTTTCATTTTGGGTATTAGCACTATATTAGTTAAATTCAATTTACCGAATTTTGCGCCACCATTAAGAATTGAGAGAGCCATGTCCTTCATCTCTTTCCCAACAATTCCTCAATATCTCTGGTAAAAACCAGCATGAAGACCATCAGGCCCTGGAGCTTTCCATGGGTACATTTGTGCCAACGCATCAATGATCTCTTAGTCTGAAAACTCCTTCATGAGCTCCAATTTCATCTCCTCGTCTAATTTTTTATCAATGATATTTGCATATAACTCCACTTCCACACCTTCTGAGGAGAAAAGTTTGTGATAATACTCCAAAATATGTTGCTCAATTTGTTCGTCAGTGCTTATCCAATCCCCTCTTTCTAGCCCAAGACTCTCGATAGTATTTCGCAATCTCCGCTGGCTAGCTTTGTGATGGAAATAAAAAGGTGTTTCAGTCGCCTTCTTGTAGCCAAGAGACTCTTAAGCGTTGCTTCCAATAGAGTTCTTCCTGCTCCAGCAGTGAGTCAAGCTCCTTTTTAATAGCGAGCTCTTCTGTTAGATGATGTGAGGAGTTAAATTGTATGGTTTCCAGCTTGTCAAAAAGTTTTTTAATCCGCCCCTTTAAATGTCCAAGTTTTCGTCTTCCCCATGACTGTAAAGCAGTCAGAGCCTGCTGTGCACAGGAAACCAGTGATGCAACCGGGTCTCCTACACCAACCCCATGCTAATTATCAGCCAATATTCTTTCACACTCCTCATCCCCTAACCATAGCTGCTCAAATTTGTGGGTCTTACCCCTTCTCTTCTTATTGTTGAAGGCATTTAAGGTATGTTTAATAGAGATGCAGATTGGAACATGGTCCGACCAAGAAGAGGATAGATGTCGTACCATGCTCGCTGGGAAGAGCGAACTCCACTCAGGGGATGCTACTGCCCTGCCCAATCTTTCACAAATCCGACGAGTAGGACTCCTGCCTCTAGCCCACGTGTATCGAGAACCTCTGAAACCTAGATCATAAAAGCTGGCGCCCCCAAGTGCCTCCCGAAAAGCATCCATCTGGGTTTGGGTTCTGATTGTACCCCCACATTTTTCTTCAGAGGATAGGATCTCGTTAAAATCGCCTACACATAACCATGGTAGTGAATATAAACTAGCCAGCCTTCTCAATAGTTGCCGTGAGTGCTTCCGTTGACTTAATTTCGGAGGGCCATAAAAGCCAATGAATCGCCAATGCTGCCCCATCACCGAGTCTTTGATCACAGCGTCAATGTGACCAACCGAGTAGCTAACTATTGAAAGCTCGACTCCCACTCTCCATAATAATGCAAGACCCCCACCTCTATTTCGGCAGTCTATAGAGAACCCATTCTCAAAGCCTACTCTTCTTCTAACGACATCCATTTCCCCTGTTAGAAGTTTCGTTTCCGAGAGAAAAACCAAACTGGGAGCTTGATCCCTCAAAAGTTTATTGAGGGCACGAATAGCACAAGGGTTCCCAAGCCCCCGGCAATTCCAAACCATAGCGATCATTGGCCTCAGAGCAACACTGTCGTTTGAAATGCATTAGCGTCCGAACCGTTCTGCAACCTTGCTCTCTTTCCATCCCTCCCTTCGTGCATGAAAGCACATTCCTCCTATAAATGCCTTTTCTCCTATCTACGGACATCTTTCATAGCCGTTAAAGCTAGTTCTGAAGTATCTGCTGTTGGGCCATGCTCATGACCACTCATAAGAGATCCACTGGGTCGGGAAATAGGTGTAAGATCGGCCCCACTTAGCCTTCCTTCTTTAACATCCACTGGGCCTTCGATGGTAAGGTCGTTCCCTCTGCTACTGGGCCTCCAAGTTGGCCCACTCCTGGTTCATCCAGTTGGTCCGTTGTATGATAATTTTTGTTGTGACACTGTATCTGTTTGCCAGCTGTACTCCAACTTGGCTGCTCTGCACCGAAGTCCCTATCCTGCATGCATCGAGAAGTGGTTGGGAGCTGATTGACATCCTTCTCATGTGGTCTCGAGCCCCGCCCTGCACTTGTGGGGATGAAGCACCTTGATCGTCTCTTCCACCTTCTTCCAGAACCATGGAGATCGATGAGGTTGCTGGCATTTCATCCTCACACAATGAGTTTGTTTGGATAAGAGTTTATTTGGATGATTTATTTGAGATATTTACTGTAGCACTTTTTATGATGTGATGTGTGTGAGATAAAAAGGTGATTGGGAAGATAAAAAGGTGATTGAGATTTGTGAGTCAAAATTTTTTTTTCCAAATTCTCTCAATCCAAACAAACTCAATATCTTCTGCTAAATCAACTTGGCGATGATGGTATCCGTTATCAGCCAAAACCCGTAATGAGAATCGTGAGTGGAAGTGCTGTTAACATTCAGAGACTTAGCACAGGACTTTGCTAAGTGCCCCATGACACCACATTGGTAACAGAACGTTGGCAAGGGATTTTACCTTTGTCAGTCACATTAAATTTTAGTCGTCCGATCCCCGCAAAGGTTTTCGTACGCCAAAGACATAGGGTCTGTTTGGATTGAGTGTTTTTGCGCCTGTTTTTGAAAAACTGTTTTTCACATTCTAAATGCTACAGTAAATGTGTATTTCAAAAACAATTTCAAAAACACCATATCCAAACAATATATAAAAAACAACTCCAAATATATTTCAATTATGTATATTTAATTTGTATATTTTAATAAGCATATTTCAATTTGTATATTTTAATTATGTATTTTAATATGTATATTTCAATTATATTTTAATATATTTTAATTATATATTTTAATATGTATATTTCAATCATGTATTTTAATATGTATATTTCAATTATGTATATTATATATATATATTATATTAATATAAATATATTTATTTCAATTATGTATAATATTATATATATTATATCAATTGAAATAAATATTATATATTTATATAAATACATTTATACATTTATATTATATACATAATATTAATTTTACATTTATACATAATATTAATACATGTATACATTTATATTAATTATATTAATACATTTCTACATAATATTAATACATATTTATAATATATTAATTTATACATTTATATAATATTCATTTATAATTTATACATTTTTAATAATATACACTTATACATTTATATTATGTATTATATATAATATAATACATTTATACATTTATATTAATATACATAATATTAATTTTACATTTATAATAATATACACTTATAATTTATAATATATTTATAATATTCATTTATAATTTATACATTTATAATAATATACACTTATTCATTTATAAATATATTTATATTATGTATTATATATAATATAATACATTTATATATTTATATATGAATATATAAATTTATTTATTTATAAATATCTATAAATGTATTATAAATGCATAAATATATATTTATATGAAAATATAAAATTTATAATTTATAATTTATACATTTATATAATATTCATTTATAATTTATACATTTATACATTTGTAAATATAAATGTATTAAAAATGCATAAATGTATATTTATATAAAAATTATAATATTTTAAAAATACTCAAAAATATGTTTCAAAAATACCTCTAAAAATAATCCAAAAAAATCTACAGTAAAAGTTTTTCATATAGTTTTTGAAAATCAACCCCAAAAACAACTAATCCAAACGGACTTGTTTTTCAGATTCGAAATGCTACAGTGGTGTTTTTGAAAAACAACCGCAAAAACAGCTAATCCAAACGGAGCAATAATATTCTCTTATTCCCGGCATGCCTTTTGGTCCTAATGCCCATCCATCGTTTTAATTGTCTTTACTCATCCAATCCAAAACAGCAACATCGAACAGTAAGCGACAAAGTTTGCAGAATGACCATGTCCCCATTTCCACATCCACCATGATGAGGGCAAAAGGTATTTGCCCTCGTTTTTTTAAAAAAAAACCAAGTAAACGGAAAAAATACATAAAAAAGATTTTAATTTTGTTTCAATGAATCATAAGAACGATCAAAGGCACACATTGATTGTCTCCAGACAATAAAACAGGATCCATAGACTAGATGATCTAAACGTCACCGTTGCTGCTACTGGAGAATGATAAACTAATCCACGTCCCAGCTGAAGCCGAAGAGCTCATAACAGATGCAGAATTGATTGTCCAACAGACAAACAATATCATACAGATGTATTGTCTGGCTTTATTATATGTTCAAGTAACTCCATCATAGACCTCGTAGCCTAACTCAAAATCTCCACCAATATATGATAGACCAGACATGTTATCCAATAGACTAAAGACGAAATGGGCACTTTGCATCCAGGATTTTACTCCCCCTAACTGTTCATTATTCCGTAAGTTCACAAACAGTGGGGATTCAGCTGTAATGTGAAAATATTCACCTTACTGTTTCCTAAAACAAGTTCAAAAATTAAATTTTTTGCTACTTATCCAATACACGAAACCATTATCTGATATCAGCTGGTCCGCTTGGCCTCAAAACTGCCCCTAAAAGGATAGAGCAGACCTTATGAGAAAGCATTCGAGAGAGAAGAAAGGGAGGGGGGGGGGGAATTAATAAAGAAAACATAACTCACAGTGAAGAATGATATGATGCTCATACAATCTCCACGTCAATGTCCAAAAGATAACCACATAAGTTTGTTTTTCAACAACTAACCCATGGTATATGTCTCTGTGAGGCTTGTTTCTTCAACCCAGCTAGTGAGGCAGGATCATGGCCATAAAAACAACCAAAAAATCATAAAGTAGTTTTTAAAAGATTTCTTTTTCTCCATTTCCTCCTTGGCAAGAGAAGAAAAACAAAAGGTGGCAGGGGCAAGACAGAGAGGGCAGGATAGAAACCAGTATTGAGGCCAACAAATAATGATAAATACAAAATTAATATACCTTCTGTGATACATGCTTCTATATTGAGAATTTGACACACATAATTGGCAACCAATTCTCAGATATCTGCTTTTCATTGTTTGGATCCGTCATCTCAGCAATCACGCTGAACACATAAAACGACGCCATTACAAGCCAACAATGTGATCAAAGGGTTCCAAATTAATCCCCTCCAGAAATATCTTTTCCATACTATCCCCCTTGAATGCTGTAATGGATCAATCCACCCCCTATGGTATTGAGTTTTTTCTGATCAAGTACATTCGGCATAACATGCTCAATTTCCCACTAAATTGCCAGTGTAAGATGCACATGTTACCCTGAAAAGCCTAATTTACCCCCCAAAAGAAGCCAACTCAACTCCATTCCTAACAATGCCCCAGAGTCTAAAGAATGTACAACCAAAAATAAAAAGACAAAAAAGAACAGGACTACGTAGGCCAAACCCAATATCTAGGGTTTTATTCTTATGTTATTTCTGGAAAAAAAAAAGAACATAATATGGATTCTTTCTTGCAGCTTATCCCACTTTTTTGGGGATAATTAGTCTTTTCACAATAGCATTTGTCCATCTCAAATTAAACATTTAGAGAGATATTGGGCCAGCTATGCTGATTGTACTTGATAAAGAAAAATTAAATACCACAAGGTGGGAATTGATGAAATTCAACATTAAGGGGCAAAGTGAGGAAAATGTATTTTTGGAGGGGTGTCTCCGAATTATCACATCTACAAATTTGGAATGCACTAGAAAGAATAGAGAGCAACAAAGACTTAGAAGCACTATCAAATGGAACAAAATAAATAAGTATCAAACCTTCATCACCAGGACAGCAAAAATGACTCTCTTTTCATAGTAATACTAGGTCTAAATCTCCCCCTCCCCCCTTCAGAAAGCAGCAATAGATCCAAAGTCCACAAGCCAAAAGAGCAAGATAAAGAAAAATTAAAATGGGTGAAACGGAAGGACTAAACAACCCATTTTAAGTGGCTCCATACGACATTAAAGCAGTACTAATCTATACTTTCACAACATTCTTCATGTAAGTTCAGGTGATAGACAAGATGTCATTCAAATTTCAGCATCTAATTTTCACTCAATTATCCTTCCAAATTGTTGTCAACTGTCAAGCTTAATTATCCAGTTATCAAAACTAATGACATAGAAACCTGGAAAAGAGAGGTTGCAATTCCACCAATCATGAGTCACAAGAAGCCAATATTTAGCAACAAGCAACCAAGATTTCAACATCAATTGTCTAACAAACAGGTAGAACTCTGACACCTTACCTATGAAATAGTGCTAAACACTTAGATATTATGCCACCCAATATTTCATCTGTAATTCATTTTGCAACATCATAATCTATTATCCTCCCCTACAATGACCCTCAAATGTGAAGCTTAGTGACCTAAAGCAATCATCTCAATCTCAAAAGTCAAGCAAATATAGCACGAACTTATCACAGAATGCAAATTTCCAATATCAAACCCTTCCCAAGAGTGCCAAAAGTTAAAGCATTTAAATTTACTCTAACCTATCCTACAATATTAAGTTAAGATGATCTAATTGAAAACCAAACAGGAACTGAAATGAAGCCACACGCAAGATGAGGAATGTGACAGCAACAGTGCGCTTTGTTTCTAAAGAGAGGACTCAAAGCAAAGGCAATGGAAAGAGATATGGGTACATGGCAACGTGATATCACAAGAATCCACATGTTAACGAAATGCAAAGCAAAAGACTAGGCATCAACTACAACTACTAGTTTAAAAACAGAAAAGCATGTCAGACCCTATATCGGCTAAACTCATTGCCATCTCACTTCCGAAGGAAAAGGAAATAAATAAAATGACAAATAAGATCAGAGTAGATTAATCAACCGGGAAGGATAGCATCCAAGCCTATAATGAATACCAAAACAACAAGAGAAACAGGCAAAGCTAGCTCCAGAGAAGGATAGAAGGATGGAACATCAAATCAGCGAAAAACAACCTAATAATCAGATGAGCGTGCCTCCTAATTCTCCTCCCTCTCTCGGTTCCACTGCTCAATCCTAGCTCTTCGCTCCTCGCTCCCTTCCCTCACAGGACTTTTGCTCCGCCTGGGACTCGTTGGATGTCTCCTCCTTCCTCCGCTGCTGTCGCTCTCATGCCTGGCGTGCCGGTCTCCTCCGCTCCTCCTACCACTTGCACGAAAATCCCTTTCACCGCCACGGCTCCTATCGTAGTCCCTTTCCCTCCGGTGATGGTGGTGCGGATGGGGACTGGCACTTCTACTGCGACTCCTGCTCCTCCGGTACCTACGATACCTCCCAAAGAGCTTCCTCCTGAGGTCCCTCCCAATCATCTTGACGTGCATAAAATTGCAATATCCGCCACGGTTGCAACTGTTCTCCTCGAACTGGCGGCAGGTGGCCTCGCGGAAGTCGGTGACGGGGGAGAAGTCGGCAATGATGGGGCGGCCGGAGTAGAAGCGGCCCTGCAAAGCCTGGAGGGCGGCGGCAGCGTGGTCCTCCTCCTTGAACTGGACGTAGACGTTGCCGATCATGTGGTCGGCAAGGTTGTCGCAGACGTTGAGGCTCTCGATCTCGCCGAACTTGCCGAGTTCCTCGAAAATGTCCTCGTAGAAGTCCTCGAAATGCTCCTGAATCTTGCGGGGATCAATGGGCTCGCCCTGGGGGTCGACTCCGGGGGTGATCATGTCGGGGCGCTGGTACATGTTGGACAGCAAAAGGGTGGGGGAGATGGTAGGACGGTTATGGAGGCGGGAGCAGCGGTCGCCGTGGCGGCAAGCGCCGATCTTGAAGTAGAAAGGGCAGTTGACACGGTCCTTCTCGGTGCCGAAGATGGAAGCTAAGTGCTCCGCCATGGGATGAATGGATGGACGTGGGAAGCAGAGAACTGATTTTAACTTGCAGGGTTTTAGGGTTATAAAAATCTGAACACGAAATAGCTCGACTAGCTCTGCTAGGCATGCGAAATTGGGGGCGGGGGGAGAATGGAGGGAGAGCCCTCCTCAACTAATTGTTTACTTACTCTTCTGTGGATTAAGAATTTAAGATACTTGGGGGTGTTGTGTTGTGTTCTGGGGGTGAATCGGATCAGTCCATGCAGTGCCGGACAGCAGGATAAGTTTCGCTTCTACGCCGGGAAGGGACTCTAAATCAGCGGTGGAACTTGTGTGCTCGCTCACTTCAGTAATAATTTAGGGTTTAAAGACCCCCAATTGTGCTTTACAAAATCAATGGGCCACTCGGTAATCGATCTCTCTGTCTCTTACCAGTTACCAATATGAATACCAATGGGGGCGAAAAAAAAGAGGAGAGAGAAAAGAGATCGATCTCTCTCGCTCTGTCTCGACGGATATGGATTCAAGCTCCCCTCCCCTCCCCTTCCTCGCCGGTCGCCACTGAAGGGTCAAACATCTACGTGTACGCGCGCAATCCAAACCAGTTATAAATGCACACTCAGGTTGGGCGTGCGACAAAGAAATGCATAATGTCCATATTTATATTTATAGCGATTGAGTTTTATATAAATTTTTTATTATTAATCCAATCTGTGATCTTTTAAATTGGTTTGACTAATTAATGCTTTTTTGTTATGTTGGCAGTTAGTTATATTGAAAAATATGTTTAAGTAGTAAATTAAAAAATGGCGTATAGATAGTTATATTGATAATGCGCGTTTGGATGGTTAATATAATTATTAAAATTAACTTGTATGAAGATAAATATGAAAGTACAAAAAGTAATAGCAAAATATTTACGTCAAACCACTCAAACCTCCTTCCCTCTCTTTATATGTAGTCTAGATGATACTCCTACTACGCTCCAAAAAATTGCAAGAAATCACACACATTTTGCAGTTTGACATTTTGAGGTCCATCTTTTGAAAAAAAAATCATCCATTAGCGAGCTTGTGGGCTTTAGCTACTATGTTCCAAACTACTTTCACCATATGAAGAACCTAAAATGCCTGACTAAAATACAATAATAATATGTCTTTTGTTGCATTTTGTTGCAAAGGGCATAAATGAAGGTTGGAGGTGGGAGTCGATCATCTTGTAACGCAAATCTTGTATATCCAACAAGTCTTGCACAAGGACCAGTATAACAGAAGAAGAGAAGAACATCTAGTAAGTTGGCACAAACCACCAACCAAAGGGTTGGTCCAAAATGAATGTAGATGGGGCTGCGAGCGAGAGTCCGGGAGTAGCTGAATGTGGAGGATTAATTAGAGATACGACAGGCTGCCAGTAAAGGGGTTTCTCGATTAATTTGGATTCTACAACTGATGTGGTAGCAGAACTTCAGGCAATTTTAATAGGGTTAAAGTTAGCATGGAATAAAGGGATACGCAAGCTTATATAGTTGAAACAGATGCTAAAACAAGCATGGAATTGATACGAAGAGGTACGCAAGAGAGAGCCCACACTTCAATCTCACTTTACAAATTAGGAATCAGCTCCGGAAGTAATGAAATTGTAAGTGGCAACATCAGCGGGGAGAGGGTAACAAATGTGCAGATCACTTAGGGGAATTCGGTCGTGGGGTGAATTTAGTTGCTTCTTACTTAACATTGTTGGCAAAAGAAAATTGATCAGTGGCGAGATGTAAAAACAGAGTGAGTGGGTTAGTCCCCTTGTTCCCCATCCCGAGTCCCACATCATTTGTGAGTGGTGTGTGTGAGTTGTAGTTAAATTCCATAGGGGTGCCAAAAGTCAGCTAGCCTTTTGGTATTTCCCCGTGAGGTGAATTTAGTTGCTTCTTGCTTAACATTGTTGGCAAAAGGCATCACTGAGCCAAGACTAGTCCAAGTGTAATGCGTCTCTACTCTTCCATACGGCAATAATACCATTTCTTTACTTTAGACTCCCCTTCCCCTAGAATAGGGAAGGGATAGATTAGGTTATAAAAAATACAAAATGTCATCCAAGATGGTTTTTAGTTTTTACCGCCGGAGGAGACTTGGTCATTTATAATTTGCATAAATCACGGGAGAAGGCTGATGCGAAAAGTATGAAGAGTCGCCATGCATGCCTAGAGATGTTAACAAATTGGTAGCTTCGTAAATAAAGCACGACTGGTGTTGTCTATTGTACTACACTAATCGAGTTTGAATCATGAACAATGACTGACATTAAATTGATTGATTAAATTCGGTACGTAGTTATCTATATTCCTTTTATTTGTGCTTAGAGCATTCACAATGCTATTACACTTTGTGGAGTGTAATCCACATGCCACGTCAGCATTCCACTTTCTCCTCTTTTATTACACTTTCACTCACAATGGATTACACTCCACAAGGTGTAATAACATGGGTCCACAATTAATCAAATATTTATTTTAATAATGCATAACTCATATCCCATAAATAAATAAAGTAATTTTTAAAACTAATTTTGTTATTTTTAAAAAATAAAGTACTAACTTTCGTTAAATTTTGTACATTTTGAATTTTTTTATTTTGTAAAAATAATATTATTAATTTTTAAGTTTGAATAATATATCTTTTTCTATGTTTCAAAAATAATATATTGTTATTTTTTTAAAAATAATTATGTAGGAAATTAAACAAATATTTGATACTTCAAATGCCATAGGGCCCACCTTCAATGAATTACACGCATCATATCCATGATGCGTGTAATCTCCATGACACTGCTCCAATGGGAAGCCGTGTCATGGAGCGGTGTAATGGCTCCCCATTACACCCGCATTGTGGTTGCTCTTAGTTTGATCAATATTAAAAAAAAAAAAAAACAAAGAACTTAAAATGTCAAGTTTGAACACCGATTTTAGAAAGAATTTTGAGCATTACAAGAACACATCAAACATGCTCAACTAGACTCATTTACAGCTCTGCGCGTCCTGCAAGAAAGTGATATAGATCTCTTCTCAATTGATTTTTGTAGATCTGCTTATAGCTTCTAATTTTACACAAAATGATGGAGCCTTTGGATTTATTTTTAGAGCTCAAAAGAAAAAAGCCAAAATCAAGAGCTACAAGATATCTGGGTTTTGGATTCTTATTTTGGCTTTTCAAAAAAAATTTTACAAAAATCAAAATTAGTTGAGAACATGCCAATAAGCACCGCATTCTGGACTGTGGAATTTCGAAGCAGACACAGCAGGATCTGTCCTAACAAATATTGATTGTCAGACTTTTAAAAAGACTAAAAATATGCTCCATTAAATGTACACCTACACTCATTTTCTTGAAAACAGTTGGATATATGTTCTAAAATTTTCTGGATGTTAATAAATTTGCAATTTCGTTCATCAAAAAGAGAAATGGCAGACTGGATCAAGTCTGCTTTACTCGGATACAACAACAGAGATGAAATAATGTCCTTCCTCGGATTATCTAGGCAAAGAACTTGGGGGAAAATTGCGCAAGGGATTCTCTCTCAATAGCTCCGTTTCCCTGTCAATTGGAACAACAATGCAGCGCAGCGCATTCAGTGAACAATTTGAAGGGGAATTCTAGTATTATAGCACGTATAACAGCCACTTACTTCTTAAGGTCTCTACCATCCCCGTGTCTGAGTTGTAGAGTTGATGATTTTCCAGTCTCCTTATCCATCTTCTGTGCTCTAACAGATTAAATAACAAAGTCCAGGTTTAAATTGAGAATGAATTTTGCAGCTTACGTCTATGCAGATATAAGCAGCACATGCACACTGGAAGCTGAACAAAATGAAGGATCCAGTAGAAAGTTGTTTCCACAAAAATGTTTTCTCAAGAACCAGGATTCACTAAGAGCATGTGTTCTTACTCGGCACAATCGTCATCCACAAAGATCTCAATAGACGGAGTTGTAATTGTTCCTCCAAATCTATGCCCAAATCTCTGGGGAATCTGGGAGCAACGGTTAGGCAGTCAAATATGCCACTGGCTCATTCTAAGTAAGAAGCACACTTCAGAGTGTCAAGTGCATGCCTAACCTTATTTGAGGCCCATTTAGAAGGAACTGAGTTGTTCTCCTTATTTCTCTCTGCGCGAACACCGAGACTCTGCCATGGTTTTGACTCCAACTTTGAAGTTTGTGATTGTAGGTCCGATATCATATTCCTACCAGAATCTTCATAGATAGGTATTGCAGTCCCTTGAATCCTGAAAAATCAAATTGAATCATAAATTAAATTTCCCAAGAATTTTGCATGTCATCTTTGATTAATTACTTTCTAATCTTGTTAAGCAGCATGGCTTGATATACGCTTTATTACAATAAAGCCGATTCAGGTAAATCACATTAGAGATCTCCAGAGTCCACAAGGAAAAACCAGTTAACTAGACTTCCACGGGACCTAGAAAAATATGTTATTCCACAAAGAGCTGAAAGTTTGCAGCTTTAAAACCCATAACTCTGATATACACACTAGTGCTGGCAAACGTGAAATTCACAACAGTAATACTACAAAGGATACTTGGATATAAATGTTGAGTAAAATAAGGGGCAGGAAGACCTTCAGACATTCTATCATCTTACCTATCTGTTTTCAACTTTTTCATAGCAAAATCAGAATCATCTGCCTGGTTTCCTGCAGGTGAAAAAACAGTTATATACACAAGTGTAACTTCGAAGGAAAAAGAAAATACAGTTATCAGACTTACGGCGTTCTCCCGTAGCCAGTACAGTCCCAAAACTTCTAAGTGGGAACTGATTCTCTGTTCTGTCCTCCTGACAATTTAAAAAAATTCAGAGTAGAAACTAAGACAAGTGTAAATGGAAGAACAAGGTGACATATGAATTTGCATACCTCTACAGCTATTGACCTTCTCATTGACCGATTCAGAAACTTTTTATAGGCTGCCTTCAATTTTTCAATTGGTCGTGCATTCCTAGAACAGTAAACAAGAATATAGCTTGGCAGTTGACATTTCAAACAACCAGATGGAAGCTAACCAATCAACTGGAAAATTTTGGGGAAAATATTTTAAAAAATAGAAGAGAGGAAAGGAAAATCAATAAATGTATTTTGCAAAAATCATATACGCCCCAACAATAACACGATCAATTGCCATTGTAAACAATCAACATTCAAGAATCTATAGCAACACTTGAGATCAGACAACAACAACAATCACAAAAATATTCCTGTTCAGCTTGGCATGATATACCAATCTACTGAGAAAGATATGGTCGGTATGAGAAATTCAGAGTGAATCCAAATAAGATGCAGGATGCTTGTATAAAAGGGAAGGGATTGCGAAATTCCAGAACTAGAGTTCATCCACTGCAACCGCCAGCTAAACTGGAGTTATATGACAAGCAGACCATACCCATACAGAAACCAGTCCACCATAAAAGCTTTTACAGTGAAGGAGAAGGTCACTCTGGTCAGAAGGAAGCAATTAAAATAATAGGGGGGAAACATACTTCACTAAACTGGAGGGAGGAGGCTCTCACATTTTATGCTTTGTTTATGCTTTTTGCTGCCCGTTATATTAAGAAGCAAATTGCAAAGAGGGAGAGATTGGCACCATTTTATAGGGTAGAAAGAGAAAAATAAGAAGCTAACGATTAGGGGAATACCAATTGAAATCAGACTATAATGTTGCAAGTCAGCTACTCAGTAATATCAACCGTGATGCCAAAGCAACACTAGTCAGGAACACAGACAAATGTAGTCGTGCAAATACAAAAGATCAGTAAGCACTATTTATACAGGTAGGGACGAAGAAGTGTGTTTTCTGCATATACATTGGGCATTACTAGGTAATTAACGGTTATGAGTAAGCTTAAAGCCTGACAACAACTCAATAGTGCTCGTTCATTAGAAAATAACTCAGAACATAAAGGCAGATATTTGATAAAACAAATACGGGATCAAAGAAGATACATTTCTGAACAAGAAACTCTTTCTCTAGGTTAACCTGAAGCACAGAATATGAACAGACAATTAATGTACAGAAATTCCTCCTTTTGGTTAACCCGAACATACTCAAGATACTTGATCTTGTTTAACGACCAATCTATTCAGCCATTGGGGGGCTGGGGGAAGAGAGAGGCAAATTCTAAAGAGACAAAAACTTACATAGATATGCCTCGATTGAAGATTTCATTAGCAGTTCTAGTTTTGTTCTTGGATTCCATGTGAAGAGCAAAGGATATATAGAAGGAAGCATGTGTGAGGCCAATTTTGTTTGCCTCGAGAAAACTATAGATGACTTGAGCATCAATACAATTTGCCGCCTAAGGATGCATTTGAAATCGAAAAATAGGAAAACAAAATCAGAAGACATACATGTAGGGAACATGAAGAAGGAAAAGATAGAGAGCAGTAATAAAAAGGGAAGGCAAAACCCTCGCACATATTCCAACCAAACATTGAGATAGCGAAGATCATCCTTGTAGCGGTCCTGGTGCCAAAAAGAGCGGACACACTGCTCATAGATGACTACTAAGCCGGAGGAGTCTCCACCAGCAGGAAAAGCCTCCTGAACCCACTTAACGCACCTGTTGGAATTGGATTGGAAGGTATTACTGTTGATGATGAATATGGGATGCGGATAGGGATTGGTTGAACATACAATACATGCGAGACAGACTAGTTAAATGCTAATGAACAATTGAAGAAAACATGACCCTATGATGCATGGTGCTCCTGCGACATGAAAGGAACAAACAGGAACGAGCAGAGGTATGGTGCGTAGTATTTCTGCAAGAAAAGAAAAAGAAAAAAGCGCACACGCACTACTAGACTGGAACTCCGGAATAACTATAAGTAGAAAAATAAGGAAAGAATGAGACAAGTAGAAAGTAGCAGGTGAGAGTACTTACCGAAGCCAAGGTTGGAGAGGATCGTCACCTTCATATTCATCTATGGCTTCAATCAACCTCCTGGTTATGCATATAAGGAGTAGTAGTTGGTAATTTTTTTTTCCCATCTTTTTGAAAGAGAAAAAAAAAAAAAAGAACCTAAATAAAAAGAATAACAGAAATAGAGGAAGAGAAGGGGGAAAAAGGTCTTGAAAAAATGTACTAGTAGAAGAGAATCTGATGAGGAGAGGATGGAAAGAAAATGGCGTAAAACCTGCGATGGTGAAGAAGTTGAGTCCTGAGGGTGGAGGAGGATGAGTGGGATTTGAGAGCAGTGTTGAGAAGAGCGACGTTGCGGCCCCGCTTCAAAGGCCTCACATTTTCCTTGAACAGCTCCCACTCGTTCCCAGTTTCTTGTTTCGATGCCAAAAACTCCATTTCTGGGTCCAACGACAACCACTCCGACTCTGACTCCTGCTTATTCAAGGTGCAATCGGACGCCATCGCCTTCTTCTCCGTATCCATACAATTGTTAAAACAAAAACTACAGTAGTACTACTTGGATTGGGAATTAATTTTATTGGAAAAAAATGAAGAAGCAATAACAAATGTAAGCTAATCTTGAATCGCCGGTCACGGAGGGAGAGGGGCTTTTTTTTTCTTCTTCTTCTTTCCTCTTCTTTTCAACTTGTAGATTGAAGAAGAAGGAGAGTGAGGGGTTCCTTTTTGTTTTGTTTGAATTTCGAAATGCACCGGCCCACGAGCACTAGCGGCTAGGCCCCACTTTACCTTTTCTTCTCTCTCTTTATATGGCAAATTGGCAATTGCTCCCTCCCTTAAGCAGTGAAGTGCTCTCCATCCCGCTCTCTCAACGTTCATCCATCAATCAACATAGCCGTTGAAACCCCGATTGGCATAATAGTTATTAAAAGGGAAAATCGTCTAAAACGTCCCTCGCATTTTATAAAATAACTTTTTTCATCCCTCACTTTTAAAAGTGTAATTTTATGTTCCTTACATATTCACATCGGTCAAATTTAGTCCCTAACTAGATTTTCAATCATTTTTTGGCCGAAATCCATCATGTGCAAGGCACGTGATCATTTTTGAAGGGTAAATTTGTCATATTATATTTTACATAATCTAATCTATAGTCATTCATATTTTATAAAATAATTTTTTTCATCCCTTACATTTCACAAAATGAATTTCTCCATCCTTCACATTTCAAAAAATGAATTTTTCATTTCTCACTAATTATGTGTGTGAATACATTTTTTTTAAACACATGTATATGTCTATTTGATTTTGCTTAATAATAATAAAATAAACACATGTATGTAATTGGGCCCAACTTGTGGACTATCTTCTCTTTTTGTATGATTATGACTAATAGTTACCAATAGAACCTTAATTTGCATATTCTTATTGTATTTTGACCGAAAATAGTTTTATTGGCCAACTTGACAATGAATGCAAGATTTTTTACTATCTAATACTAGATGAAATTAAATGATCACGTATAATATATGGTATTCGTATTGTTAAGTGAAATCAAATAGACACATGCATATAGTTATGCTATTCGTATTATTAAGCAAAATCTAATAGACATATACATGTGTTTAAACAAAATGTATTCACACACTTTTTTTTTTAGGGTTTCCCTCACACACATAATTAGTGAGGGATGGAAATATTCATTTTTTGAAATATGAGGGATGAAGAAATTCATTTTGTGAAATGTGAGGGATGAAAAAATCATTTTATAAAATGTGAAAGACGAAAAATTTGTTTTATAAAATGTGGAGGACTATATATTAGATTATGTAAAATATAATTTGACAAATTTACCCTTAAAAAATGATCACGTGCCTTGCACGTGATGGATTCCGGCAAAAAAATGATCAGAAACCTAGTTAGGGACTAAATTTGACAGATGTGAATATGTAAGGGACATAAAATTACACTTTTAAAAGTGAGGGACGAAAAAAATTATTTTACAAAATGTGAGGGACGTTTTGGACGATTTCCCCTTATTAAAACCCGCCTGGAAAAAGAACTCGACAAGGGACTGAATCAATGGACCAGTGGTGTGGTTCAATTAGTGAATCACTAATTAAATCAGCGAGTATAAATTTAATATTTATAAATATAAATTACTAATTTAACATACATAAAATATAGGGATAATTGCAGAAACCTCCCTTGAGGTTTGTGACATTTACACTGACCTCCCCTGAGGTTACTAATCATTTGCAAATTCAGTCCAAACGATTAAAATATTGTTTTAGGGAGTGAAATTATAATTTTTTACCAAATTTGTCCTTTGTACTACATGTTCAATGAATGACAAAATATTACAAATTAATTAACAATTAATAAACTTTAAGAAGTATAGTTTATAGGCAAATATGCATTATCTATTTAAAGTACTGACTCTTTATGGGTATTTTACTTTCAAACATTTAATTTAATACAAATATTTACGCTCAAATACATATTTGTATTTACTTTCAAATATTTAATTTTTGTTAAATACAAAAACTACCAATCTCTCATCCGTAAAAATATTAATATAACACTTTTTCAATTTTGAGTTACAAACATTTATGTATTTAACATAAATTAAATGATTCAGGATAAAATACCCATAAAGAGCCAATACTTTACTCATGTAATGGATGAAAGCCATAAAGAATTAATACTTTATGGGTCATTTTTTTAAAAAAATATTTAATTTATATTAAATAAATAGTCTACCGATTTCTTTTTTGCAAGAATATTACTGTAACACTTTTTGAATTTTACTAACAAACATTGATATATTTATCGTAAATTAAATGTTTGAAAGTAAAATATCCGTAAAAAGCAGGCACTTTAAATGAGTAATGCATGTTTGCCTATAAAGAGCCGGTAATTATTTAAAGTACCGGTTCTTTAAGGGTATTTTACTTTTAAACATTTAATTTAATAAAAATATTTACCCTCAAATACAGATTTGTATTTACTTTCAAATATTTAATTTTTGTTAAAGACAAAACCTACCAATCTCTCTTCCGTAAAAATATTAATATAACACTTTTTCAATTTTAGTTACAAACATTTATGTATTTAACATAAATTAAATGATTCAGAATAAAATACACATAAAGAGCGAATACTTTACTCGTGTAATGGATGAAAGCCATAAAAAATTAATACTTTATGGGCCATTTATTTTTTTTAAAAAAATATTTAATTTATATTAAATAAATAACCTATTGATTTCCTTTTTGCAAGAATATTACTATAACAATTTTTGAATTTTACTTACAAATATTGATATATTTATCATAAATTAAATATTTGAAAGTAAAATACTCGTAAAGAGCTGGTACTTTAAATGAGTAATGCGTGTTTGCCCATAAATTATACTCATTAAAATTTATTAATTATTAATTGATTTATAGTACTTTGTCATTCAGTGGATATGTAGCACAAAGGGCAAATCTGGTATAAAAGTCTAATTTCACTCCCTAAAATAATATTTTAATCGTTTGGACTAAATTTGCAAAGGATTAGTAACCTCAGGGGAGGTCAGTGTAATTTTTCAAACCACATGGGAGGTTAGTGCAAATGTCAGAAACCTCAGGGGAGGTTTCTGCAATTATCCCTAAAATATATAACAAAGTGCTTTTAAAAACTAATTATTGTACTTAGAATGATATATAATGAATATATACATGTTAATAGAAGATTTAATTTCATTTTAGCGTACTTTTACATAAATAAATAATATAGTTAAGTATAAAAAAATCATATCACTTGTTTAAAAAAATATAGCATCATTTCTTCATTATTTTTTTAAGAACAATTTAATTTTTTCACTATTTAAATATTGTCAGTTTAAACTTTAAAAGTTAAAAGAATTAATTATACAATAAAAAAGTAAACAAATTTATAAAAATATATGTAGTTATCAAATAAAAACTAAGCAAGTGGTAAAATCTTATGCACATTTAAATGAAGATCAAATATACAAATCTTATCAAAAACATATACTATACACGTGTTGTTTCGAAAATAAAAGATTCACGATTGTTAAAAAAAAAGAAGTAAATTGTGTCAATTAAAAAATCGGCCAAATTTTTTGTTGAACCGCTAGGTCAAACAAGTTTGTTCAGATTTGAGTGGATCAATTTCTTGTCCGGTCAAACACATATCACCAGGCCAATTGATTCAATTATCGGGTTGGGCTGAATTTAATAATTATATTGATTGGGACCCACCCCTACCTATTTTGCAATTATTTCTTTTAACATATATAAATAAATAAATAAATAAGCAAAGTACAAGTAACCAAAATATTTAAAAAGTTGGGAAAATCGCCAATTTAGTCCTCAAGCTATTTTACTAAAGCCGATTTGGTCCCTAAGAGTTTTATCGCACCAATTAAGTTCCTTAACTAAAATACTTGTGCCAATTGAGGACTTATACGGCGTCACCACCCAAAACTCATATATCTGTACAGAAAACAACGGCCAGGCAGGGGCCTTTTTAGAAGTTCGCATCCTAATTTCTACAGGAAGCAAGACAGAGCCCATTTTGCATCCGAATTGGGGGAAACCTATGAAATTAGGGGTTTTCCAAGACAGAATATAGCTGCTAGCATCAGTGGTAATAAATAGTTCATCTACGTTCTACCATTTTGATGCATTTTTCCAGTGAAAATATCCAATCCAATTTGAAGCTTCCCTACTTTAGTTAGACCTATCAGCAGAGAAGTAGATGTGGAAGCAGGAGGAGTAAGACCAAATTTTGTCATTATGTTATACACTTCAAAAGCTTTCTCATGCAGTCCTGCTCTGCTGTAAGCACAAATGAGCAAATTGATGGCAATTATGCTAACAGGTATGCCCTTCTCAAGCATAGTCTTCAGTAAGTGCAAAGCCTCATCTAACCTTCCTGCCCAACACAATCCTGAAATGGACATGTCAGATATTGAACAATCAGGAATCAAAGCCATCATAGATAATTCCCTTAAGAACCTGTTGCCATCATCTTCCCTCCCATATTTGTAGTTTCCTGCAACCAAAATGTTAAAAGTTATACCATCAGGAGCAACTCTCATATTCCGCATTTCCTCATAGAGCATATTAGCCTCACCAATTTCTCTTGCCTTTACATGGCCATCCATCAAAGCATTGTATGTCACAGTGCCTGGTGAAACACCCATTTCTTGCATTTCTTCAAATATTTTCCTTGCTTCTACAATGTTGCCCTCCTTGCAGAGTGCATTAATAATTGTAACAAATGTGGCAGTGCTTGGTTCACAACCGCTTTCCGCCATAAAATGCGCCCAATTCAGAGCATGAGATGTCCAGCCTCTCACACAATATGCACTTATTAGCAAATTATGTGCAATAACATCAGGTTCACAACCATACTTCCTCATCAAAAACAACAAGTTTTCTCCTGTTCTAACACACCCTTTTCTACAAAAGCCAAGAATCATCACATTATACACAAAAATATTCGGGCAAGGTCCCCTTTGGATCATATCTCTAAATAACTTCCATACACTACCATAATCACCAACTCTAATTAGCAGCGCAAAGAAAATGCTAACAGCTGATAAACTTGGTCTAATTCTGACCTCCCTCATTCTATCCCAGATTTTCAATGCTTGGGAACCCATATCTGCATTCACAAACGCCCTCATCAAAGAATCAAGAACCGAGAAATCTGACTCATACTTGCTATGC